CAGCCATTGATAGCCTTTGCCTCCATGCATTTGTCTGGTCCTCCATCAGAGCTGGTGACCCACACTGCATCCTGGGGACTCCAACTCCCACTAGTCCCAGCCAGCACTGCCAGTGGTCAAGGGTGATGGGAGCTGAGTCCAGCAACATCTGGAAGGCCACAGGATGCCCCGTCCCTTGCCTATTCCGACTGGCAACGGCTCTCAGGTAGATATCTGTCCCACCATTTGCTACCTGGAAATGGACAAACTGGAAATGTATGTCTAATTAACAACATCAACAACCTGGGACTTTTTGCAGAGGCAGTTTTAGGGTGGAGTAACCAGTTTGGCCACACTGGGTGCTGGCACCATAGGGGGTGCTGCAACAATTATGTTGAACGGAAGATGAAAGGAGGGAGCACCAAATTTTAGCATCTCATAGGGCGTTGCTGAAATTTCAGGGTCCAAAATCTGCCACTGCTTTTCCTTGCATGTGCTATCTACATGAAGCCTTCCCAGTGTGGGTTGATAGTCTTCCCAGCTAACATTGCATATTGAACGGCAGTCATCTTGGTGTTTCAAGTGACTGGGATGGGGGGTGGGGAAAGGATTTATCTTGCAGCTATTTTTAACTTTTCAATAACTATCACAAGCTCTTCAAAGCACTTTCTGAGAGAGCTGTCATGTATCATTGCTTGATGCATGCAGCATAAACCGGCTGTGCACAATGGAATGCCTCCATCTGGGTAAGAAATTGGAAAGTAAAGCCATCATGATATTTGGGAGCAGCTCAGGGGTTGCAAACAGTTTCCACGGGAGACACACACACACACACACACACACACACACACACACACACAAAGAAAGAATAATAATTCAAAAGCACAAAAGGGAAACTCAGGCAATGACTTGGCCAAAAGCAACATTAAAACAAAAAAACTACAGACTACAAACCTAAAGTTACACAAAATGACATCAGCATTGTGCTACGATGTTCTAATATCTTTCCCCCAGACACATTTGGAATAAAACATTCAGGCTGCAACTCTCTCTTCACTCAAATTCAAGCAAATCTCCTACTGGAATCAATGGCACTTTGTAGGCCTGTCAATGTGCAATTGTTTTGAACACCGTCGACCTGAAATCAGGCAGCAAGTTTAGAATTCATTCTTATAGAGAATCCACAGGGCATGGGCTTCTCCCATGCCTTGGTTTTTACTTCCTGGCCTGAGGATGTAACCTTTCTACCTCCCTCAGACTTAGATAATGAGTCCCTAATCATATTGCATTAGAACCCTGTTATGTACTGAGCTTGGATCCTAAAACAATAGGCAGGTAGGATCCTAGAAGGCAGCAACCTGATTGGACTACAGGAGCTGCCCAATTCGGCTCCAGGAGGAAGTGAATCAGTATCCTGATTGGCCTGCAGGAGCAGCCCAATCAGGCTCCAGGAGGGGAGTTGAATCAGCCAATCACACGGGACCCATTTTGGGGGAAAGCACTCACTCACTGTTTACCATGAGCTGAAATAAAGAACATGAAATCAACACTCAACTTCGAGTATATTTCAAACCAGTGAGAAGCCTGCGAACAGAATATGAGCACAACAGCAACACCTGCAGTTCCCAACAACTGGTATTCAGAAACACAACCATAGCCATAATGGTTTTAGTAGCCACTGACAACCTATTATCCCTGAATTTATTTAATCCTGTTTTAAAACTATCCAGGTTGGTGGTTCTCCCTGTCTCTTGCGGGAGCAAGTTCCAAGGTTTGTCTATGGGCTGCCTGAAGAAATACTTGCTTTTCTTTTCCCTGAATCTTCCATCATTCAGTTCTAGTATTATAAGAGAGGAAGAAAAACTTCTCTTTATCCACATTCTCCATGCCATGTATAATTTTACAAACTTCTATCTTGTCATCTCTTACTTGCCCTTTCTCAAAACTAATCCTACCTCTTCCACAAGTGGGAACAACTGCAGCCAACAACTGCAGAATGGGGCCCTTTAATACAGCACAGTCAACTCCTCCAAGGAGGTGGAGTAAACAGACTTGGGCCGTCTTCTTAAGTCTTCAGGGGGTCTCAGATCTTTGCTGAGATCTTCTTCCCACTGCTCAGCCAATAAGGGGCCACTGGGAACTGTCCATTGTCCTAGCTTCTTCTTAAAACAACTTGCCTTGCCATTATTTGTCTCAAAGAAACTCAGTCTAATGGTTTCCGCTTGCCCTGAGAGTGCCAACCCTGAGAAGAACAGGATACCCGTCGTGGAAGAAAGGCAGGGTGGAAATGGAATTAATAAAGAGAAAACAAGAATTCTGAAATGAAAAAGCACACTTTTCCCATTACACACAAATATGTTACAGCAGGCAGCACCATAGAAGAGGAATTCCCTCCTGTGTGTGAGAGAGAAGGAGAAACGCTGCTTCCAAAATGGTTCTTGCTACCTGCAGTTTTTATAACTACCTGTATTAAAATTATGGTATTTGCATATCTATAAGTATTGTCCAGTTAATCAAGAACACTTTTAAAAATCAATCAAAGTAGGAATGGATGGACCCATTAATGTCCTAGTAAGGCATGAGGATGAGAAAAAGTCTGTTCCCTTCCATTTTCCAGGAAGATATTTAATGGAATTCCATTAATCTGCACAGAAACAGATTTTTAAAAATATGAACATTATTGGAGGCCTTGGGGTTGTGCATTGTCCCTGGTCCTCCAATAATGTTTCCTTCACTAAACAGGGTACCCAAGTGCCCAGGGCCTGGAGCAGCTACCATAGAAGCCAACAACTAGGGGCTGAGAGGGCTTCAGTCCCCCCATAAAATATTTGAAGGGTCTGCCCCCCAAAGTTGATGGGCATTGCCATTCTAATGGAGTATGTGCATCACATTATGTGAGTGATTATGCAGGGCGGGGCTTACCTGGGTCTCCCCAATATTTTATTCAAGTTGGCACCCCTAGCAGCTACTGCATAGGGCTTCTTGCCACTGCTTGCTTTAAGAACAAATATGGCAAGGACTCAGTGCCGGTGCGCTGAGCAGATCTTAACGTAGTTGTGCTCAAAGTGTGCAGCAGCAAGAAGCCCTGCCTAAGCCCTGGGTAGCCAGATGCCCTATTCTGAAAAGTTTAAAAGATGAAGACGTTTTTAGGAGGCAACGCGCAACTCTTGGTGATCCATGAACTGATCTGACTCATGATCCACCCAGATTCAGTCAGGGGAGTCTATTTTCCTGAATCTGAGCTCAAGAGCTCAGAATCTGAGCTCAATCCTTCCCTATTGCTAATCAAAAACTGTTTAATCAATCAAACTGCTTTTATCAGTTAAACATTGCGGCCATCTCTCTCTCTCTCTCTCTCTCTCTCTCTCTCTCTCTCTCTCTCTCTCACACACACACACACACACACACACACACACAAAATGATTGCTGACCTCTGGCTTGGCTATTCCAAGCACAATCATTTGAGGGGGGTGGGGTTCTGAGGGACTCCATGTTTCTGATATTGCAACAGTGCCCCAAACAACAGCCTTTTAAAAATATATGCAGAAAATCAGCACTTGGATAATCTCCCTCCTTCTTCAACAAAAAAAGCTCATCCTGATTTACAAGTGAAGTTTGGGTGTTAAAGCAGAAACCAGTATTGAATTTAAACCATGCGGAGTGTGTGTCCCCCTAACCTTGAGTGGCAGCACCTTTATCTATTGTTTAAGAAGAACATAAGAAGAGTCTTCCTGGATCAGACCAAAGGCCTGTCTAGTCCAGCATCCTGTTTCACACAGTGGCCAACCAGCTGCCTCTGGGAAACCCACAAGCAGAACAGAAAGACAATTAGCCCTTGCTTGCTATTGCTCCTTGGGAAACGGTAGTCCCGCTGCCTCTGACCCTAGAGATTTGCATATAGTTATCAAGACAGCTCATTATTCCCCATGAATTTATGTGGTTACCTTTTAAAGCTGTTCAAGTTGGTGGCCATTACACATCTTGTGGCAACAAATTCCATAACTAGGCACGGTAAAAGTAAGCACATCCTTATTGGCTACAGGGAGGTCTTGATATGGCTAAAATTGTGGGGAAGGGCTTAAGGGTTTATTTAAGGGTGTCTATATTCTCCATTCCACACCGCTGCAGTTTGAGCACAAATCAAAACTCTTGATAATTCAGAAGAAATGAACACAAAATATTGTGGAGGGGAACGTGTGGCCCACCAGATGTTGTCAGACTACAAAGCCTACCATCCCAGACCATTGGCCATGGTGACTGGGGCTGATGGGAGTTGTAGTCCAACAATATCAGAAGCGCTGCAGGTTCCCCACTCTTGGATTATACCTATGGATAAAACTAATAAACTTTGGGACAGTTAGGACCCCAATCCAGAGAATTAAAAAAAATGTGTAGAAACTTCTGGATTGTGCAAATGCTCTTAGAAGTTTGCTAGGGGTGGAGGAGGGTTGAGAGGACCTTATTCCAAAGTCCGGATAATAGATGTGTGATGTCTTGCACAATCCAGTGTGTATGTTTTTGCACAAGTTTGTGTGGAAGCTTGGTGACCACGAGTACAGTCGGTGATGTGCGATGCTTGCGCTATCTGGGCCGAAGAGCCAATGTGAACAAATGCCATCTGCCTCTAAGGTTTGAGATTATTGTCCTCTCAGCTTGTTCCAATAGGAAGCTTAAAAGAATTCAGTCCGAACTGAATGCTCTGGGGGAAATTGCCTGGGACAATGCACCTTCACAACACAGTTCTCCAGAATTTCTATAGGAAAAGGGTTGAATGACAGATACATGTTTTCTGTCCAACTCTTTTGAAACTCAGTGCTTACTCCATTGGCATACAGATAATGAAAGTCAAAGAGAATTTAAGGGCGATGGACAGACTTGGAAAAGGAAACAATGGAAGGCCAGGCCTGATTGACTCCCTGCCGACTTCCATGTGGCATCTTTTACTGACAAACTGCTTTCAAGAGGACAGCTTTCCATCAGACAGACGCAACGGGAGATGGAGTGCGAAGCACAATACTCACCCTCCTTCAAAGATCTTGATCCGGGCTGGCTCCCCTCGTTTGGATATGGGAATGTCGTCTTCTGGTTTTCCTCTTTTCTCCTCTTCCTTTTCAGTTCTCATTTCGTCCTTTCGACCTTCGTTGGGGAGGAGTGAAGGCAGGTGAACCTACCTCGCCAAAGGATGAAAGTAACGGTTTTATTATTCTTTCAAAGGCTTGTTACCAAAGACAGACACCTTGGACAAGGCTCTCTCTCTCTGGAGAGTCGGGGAGGAAACCCAGAAGCCACCCTAACTTCAGTGAAAGATTTAAACCTGATTTGCAAGGTTCTCATTTTAGACCTGGTGCTACTGGTCCGAGCTGCATGGGGTGGGTGGGAATAAGCAATGGGGCAGAACAATTGCTTTAAAGTTGCATAAAAAGAACCTGAGGAATCTGGACTGAGGACTTTGCTTGGCTTTCATGACCCTGTGCATTTTGGGAGTCGTACAGGAGATCACCGGACACAAGAGCGGTTGCGAGTTTTTCTACTGTACAGTGAGTTCTGCACCTCCCACCTTCACTGTCCAGCCTCAAGACTGAACTCCAGTCCTTCCTCTCCACTCCTTCCCAGGTTTCAGGTAGACAGTCTGTCCCCAGCTGCCATGAACATATTGTATGGATAACTGTTCAAGCATTCATTCATTGCTTGGAGCGGGAAGGGACAGGGCATTTCTGAACACTTCTGTAGTGATAAGCATGCAGGACTAAGACCTGGTAGATTGGGGGTTCAGGTCTCCACTCAGCCACTAAACTCACTGGGTGACTCTGGAACAAGTTGTGACCAATGGGTATGGGGCTGAATCATGAACACACACCCCAGCATCTCCCTGGCACTAAGAATCAAAACCTTCTGACCAGTCAAGGCCTGGGAAATCAGGTGGGAGGGTAGAACAGGATCCCCAGTGCCCAGGAATCCCTCGTCAGCTAGAAAACTGTTTCTACAGGACAAGGGAAGAAAGGAAGTCAGGTATGAATCTGGTTAAGTTGCTGGGACCGTTCTCCAAAAGCAATCTGGATTTCATTTAAATTTTCATCCTGGAGCGATGCCTTCAGCATGCTTTGAAGTTAACCAGTCCAGCACACAACCACCCCCTCCCCACAAAAAAAAACCACACTAAACATACCCCAAACATCCCTCTCTGAACGACCCCCAAGTGGTTCTAAGCATTTGATCTTCCTTTCATCTCATTGGAAAATAGCCCAAACACAGCTTTTTCTCCAGGACAGTCATGTAACGCTATGATTTCTAGCATGTCTTCATAAACAGCAGCTATGTTTACCCCAGACTGATCTGTACCGCGTGAAGCTCTGCTTAAGTGGCAGACTGTCTTGGATCTGCTCTAGCGATGAATGAACCTGTCAATTTCAGTTTACCTCCATTTCTCATTTTCCCAAACTTAAGATTGCAACTTAAGAAACAAAAAGCATGTATGAAAATTTGTGTGCATTTTAAGGCACATTTCTTCTAATATGCACATTTTTGCATGCATCTTTCCAGGCAAATTTCTCACAATACGATGCAATCTGGCACATTATTTTCACTTATCCAGTTTTGTTCACGCCTTTCCCTAATATATCCACTTCTATATTTTAATGGCAGCCTCCATGTCAATTCTTACTCACAAAACAGGTGAGGACAAAAGGAAAACCCAATTTCCTTACCTCCGACATTTTGGGGTTCCCGGCGCTTGAGGGCACAAGCCTCCCTGCCTCTGGACGTGGAGCAGCAGACATGGTGTAGGTTTCTTTGCTCACCTTTTGCTTGGAGCGCAGGAGCGAAAGGGCTGCTTTGGTGGACACACCGGGGAGGTTGGGATTATACAAACTAACGCACCAGCCGGCATACACCGAGGACCTTCGGTCAACTTGCTGGATGTGATTTGGCTTTGTGTAATTTAAATAGCACCAACTGACATTAGTAGTTGTATGGAGACTGGGGAACTGAAATACCTTCTTGACATCTGGCCCCTCTTGGGACTTCTTTGAACTTTGGGCAGCCTCAGAACGAAGAACTGGACTTGGGGAGGTTGTTGCAGGTGGCTCCACAGGCTCTTTCGAATCTTCTTTCTTCACCATCTGCGGAGATTCCTTGCTTTGCAACTGCTTGCCAGCTGGATGCTTAGATTCCTCGTGCCCCTCAGAGCTCGAGACCTCAGGCTGTGGAGAGGCTGGCCATAAAGTTCCCTGGACTTCTTCCAACTCAGACTGCTCAGGCGACACGTCCGGGAGCACTTCTGACTTGACTCTCCTTTGATTCTGCTCCTTCCCTTCCTCTGTTGCACTGGGGGCCACCACTGCTTCTGACTTCTCCATCTCAGAGAACTCTTCCTCCTTCACCCTTTTTTGCTGCTGGGTTTCCATCGTGAGTTCCAAGCTTCCGGCCGGAGACAGCATCCGCTTGCTTCCTCCGACAGTCGACGGACTCCCTTCAAGATCCAACAGGCTTTCGGATGGCGAGCCAAGAGGAATGTAGCCTTTCTTTTCCGAGAGTGACAGCGGCAGCCTTAGGTAGGGTGTCTGGAAGATGCTCTTCTGCTCTTCGGTGATCATCTGTGCCAGATCGAGGCCGATTCCGTGAACGTTAGCGGTGCAAACCAAGGTACCCTTGGCCTCATACTCGTCAAATCTCGGCAGGATGATAGAAGAGGCGCTGCAGTGTGACTGAGTGACCAGGATCTGAGAAAGGGTTGTATACATTGCGCTTCCGTAGGAGGGCATATTCGTCTGAATGCGAACTGGGACCACTAGCGACACGACAGGCTCAGATCGTGCAGGCACCACCAACTGAGAGATGGAGACAGATGCAGAGGGGCTGCTAGGCCGGGCCAAAATATGCAGTCTGCTCTCGGAGCTGTAGTCTGCAAATGGGGAGAAGATGGGACTTCCGGTGGGTGGAGAGAGCCTCGATTTGAGCTGGGGCAAATGGGCACCAATGTCACTTGGCAACTGGAGAGCAAGCTGGGACTGGAGGGGCAGAAAAAAGGCAGAATGGAGCGGTGGGGAGCCTGGGTAGTGCACAGGGACAAGGGACGGGCTCTGCCTGAGGGCCACGTCCCCTGGGTGGGACAGCAGTGGAGGGGCAATGTGAAGCTGGCCTGGGTGGAGCAAAGCGTCTTGCAGCGGGATGGCTGCATTCTCAAAGATGGAGTGCGGTATTTGCGGGATGGAATACTGAGCGGCAAAGAGGTCGGTCATTGTCTGGCTGGAAAAGAGCTCCACCGTCTGTCCCGATGGTGGCAAAAGATGCTGGAATGGCAAGAGAGAAATCTGCGGGGCCATGTACTGTTTCTCGTGGAGCGTCAATTGGGCCGATGGGTGGTGAAACACCTGCAGAGCTTCAGTGTAGGGATGGGTATATGTGCGCTCAGGGCAGTCTTTTGGCTCACCCTTGTCAGCTGGGTAGCCTCTTTGAGAAGAGGAGGAGGAAGAGGACGGTGGTTGCTGCTGGGGCAAACTTGCAGCTGAAGATTTGCTTGTGGATTGCAGCAGCTCTTCCGTTTCTGTCCCTCCTTTGGAGCCAGAGTCCGGCTCGTGCTCTGGGTGCCCAGCAAGAGACGCCTGCCTCACCAGGAAACATTTCCTCCTCTCCTGTGCTGCTGATGTTGTTGGTGGGCGGGGCAGGGAAGTGGGAGAGGAGGAGCATAAGCTCCCATAGTCAAACGATTTGCTGCGGGTCTCCGACATTGGAGAGGAGGGAGAGACGTTGGGCGTCTGCTCGGAGACGGACCTCCGCATTTCTCGGGTAGGGTGGTGAGGGTGGTGGTGGCCTGGCACTGTTAGCATGTGTGGGCCGAGCCCAATAGGTTTTATGTGGGATTCAGAGGACTGGGAAGCAGCTTCTTCACGTTCAAATGACGTTGAGCGGCTGGAGGCATGGGAGATGCTGCTCTCCTGACTGGGGCTCCTGACTGACTCAAAGCTGGATTCTCCAGAAGACTGAGCCATTTCCGCAAGCCTCAGCCTCTTCTTTTTGGGTGGCAGCTTCTCTGCAGGAAGCTGGGAGAGAGACTGGCTTCTCTGTGGCCACTGAAACTCCTCCGTCTTCTCCGGCTCTTTAGGGGGAGGTTCGGGCTCCATCTCTGGCCTGTCCGGCTCTTCTGTGACCAGGATCTCAGGGACTTGGATGTTGGGTTGACGCACAAGCTTTGGCTGCAGGGAATGAGTCGGCCGGCTCTGCTGTGCAGCTGATTGAGAAGTGTATGGCAACGGCAACTTTTCCTCTCCTTCCAAGCTGCTCAGTTGTTCGATAGAATCCGACTTCTCAAAGGAGCTTGTGTGCTGGATGACAGAGATCTCCTTTGAGGTCGTCCGCCTCTCCTTGACTTCCATACCAAAAGATGGTTTTGTAGTCCTAGAGTGGAAAGTGACACCGGCGTCAGAGAGCGGCATCGATTTGCTGAGGTCTGCTGGTGACGTCATGGACTCGGAAGTCAGGTTCAAGGCCACATCAGTGGGTTTCAAGCTAGTAAACTGAGCGGCTGCCCCAGAGCTACAGGAAGATGGACTGGTCAACTCAAAAGCCGGGGGGTCCTCATCATCACCGAGGCTTTTTTCCTTACGCCTTTTCCTCAGCGGAGTTAGTTCTAAACTCGTCCCCAGCTTATAATGCATCATCTGCGGCCAAGGATCAGATTCTACGGAACCCTTCTCGGCTTCCAATGAAAAATGAGAACTGGAAGAGCGGGGCTTGGAGACCTGCAGTTCTGAACAGTAATACTTTTTGTGGGCTTCGTAATTATCCCGTTTCTTGTAGCGAGCACCGCAAACGTTGCACTCGTACATGAACCCTTTTGTTTTCGCGCCCTTCCTTGACTTTTTGGTGAGCTCGCTCTCCTTGCTTTCTTGTTCCTCGGGAGGTTTGGAAGTGCTTTCTTTGCTCGCCGCGCCCACGTCCTCCGAACCATACTCCACCCCCAACGGAAGTTCGATGGCGGGCTGCCGTTTTAGCATGCGTGGGTGGGAAGACACCTGACTGCGGCTTTGGACCTCCGATTCGGTGATGTGGTCATCAAAAGAATAGCTACCTCTAAAGGTATGGGAGGAGCTGATGGTGCACGCAGCTGAAGGCATAGAGTGGCTTCGTAGGAGAGGCACTGTCTCTGTGGCACTGTGGGAATGCTGGAGTGATAGCAATGATTGTTCGGGCTTCATTTTTCCATGTGGGGCATCAGTGACTTGGATGAATCGAGTTGGCTACCAGAGCCGGGTTTGATTTCTAACGCAAAGGGCTCTCTGTACGGGCCGGACTTTGGCGATTCAATGCTGCTGCGTCTGGACAATGAACTTCTCCTGGGCTTGACGCTATCTATCTCGCTGGTGTCAACAACGGCTTCGTTAATAGTGATCAGTTTGGTGATATGTTCAATAACCTGCGTTCTGGGCACAGACAAAGGGACTGTGCTGAGTTTCTCCTCGGACGATACCTGGGGAAATTCTTGGGCAGTGGCTGCCGCTAACATGGAAGTCCGTTGGCCAATTCTCCCACATTTGCCAAAAATGATCTCTGCATAAGACTTGGCGTTGGTGTTTGGTGGGCTGATTTGCTGCTCGGCACTCTCTGACCTGGAGAAATAGCCAGATTCTGTGCTTCCTTTGCTGCCAGGGCTAAGGAAAGCTTGTTCCTCAATCACCTTCTTTCTTTCACTCAATCGCAGAGCGAGCTTCTGCTTGATAGTATGCGTTTCCTCCGATTTATGACTTTGGGCATGCTCCGAAGCCGGCTCCACAAACGGGCTGCTTTCCTCGAGAGACTGAGACAGGCTAGAGTGAGAAAACGAGCAGCTCTCTAGGCTAGAGCTCTGGCTTCCCGACCCGTACAACATGGTTTGCTTTCTCTGGGGCGACAGTTCTGCCAAATGGCTCGGCGCGCTCCTGGTCTCCTCCTCCGAGTCGGTGCTTTCACCCTCGGTGGGCTCTTCAAATTCCTCTCCGGCCATCTTCTCCATTTCCAAACCGGAAGGGTACAGCTCGGTCCCAGTCCCCGAGGCAAGACCGGCTTTGATCCGGTGAGCGTGAGACTTCCGATGTTTATACAGATTGCTCTTGGTTTTGAAGGAAAAGCCACAGGGGACGCAGGGATAGGGCCGCTCCCCTGTGTGCGAACGGATGTGTTTCTGGAGGACGCTGGGCTTGGCGCAAGGCCGGCTACAGTACTGGCAAATGTATTTGCCAGGTTTCTGGGGTTTCTTCTCTTTCTTGTGGCCTTCTTCCGAGGATTTCAAGGAAGCTTGCGAAGCGCGGGGAGTGTAGACCTTTGGAACGGAGGGCATGTCCTCTTCGGGGACGACCGGAGGACGGGACGGCAAGTGCTGGCCAGGGTGAAGCCCAGAGGATGGGAACGAACTGGAGGGACCTGCTCTGGCTGGGTCGACTAGCTGCCATGTCGTGGGACCTTCAAGGACATGTTCCTGCTTCCGGGGAGGCATGAACGCTGGCGACAGGGGGTGCTGCTGAAGCTGGGAGATGTGGGGAGCGCGCTCAAAAGAGGGGCGTTTGAGCTGGGCTGGCCCTGTCTTCTCCTGGGCCTCCTCCCTTGAAAAAGGCTGCTGCGCTGCAACGTCCCGGAGGGGAGAGCCTTGCAAAGGAGCCGAGCTCCCCGGATAGGTAGCGGCGGACGAAACACTGCTTTGGAAAGCCTGTCCTTTGACAAGCCTCCTCCTCGACCCTTCCTCGCCCTTCTTTGTGCTCCTCTGGCTTTGTTCAGGATCCATGACCTTGGAAAGGGAAAGGCGAGGAGGGGGGAGATGGTCCAAGGAATCTATTTCGGGAAGGTGTCGGCAGGCTTCATGGATAATGAAGGAAGGACTCCTCTGTGTTAGCTCGCCGGCATTTGCTGTGGGGCTGCCAAAGGTGGCGGCCAGAGAAAACGGTTGTTGACTCGAGATTTCAAAGCGTCACTCACTGCTGTTTGATTCGGGGGGGGGGGAGGAACAGAGGGTGGGGAGGGAACAATGAAAAGGGAAAAAAAGGTTGGTTGAGGGTCAAGAGAGTTCACACTGGTAAAGCATGACAAACTACTTCAAAGCAGGAAAACTGTCCAAAACCTGTAGTCCAAATATTTTCCTTGTGGATTTTGCAGAGGCTTTAAAGCGGGCCATTTTTATCACCGTTGATGGTGGCAAGCCTTCAAAGAGGAGAAGCAACCCAGAACATTGCCTCGGGTCCTTTTTCTCATGCAAGCCTTGGTAAACGTGAGGCTCCCATGCTCATCTCGCAGCCATCTTTCTCCTTGGCTTGGAAAAACAGCACTTGGCAGTCCTCTGTTCCTCTCTGCATGTGTGCCCTGATTCCTTCTCTGCTTTCCTCTTCTTCCACTTTGCCGTTCAGAGACCTTGGGAAACAGACCGATCACAATCCTGCAACGACATTTGTCGAAGAGGTGAAAACACACACACAAACACACAATTGCTACCGTTTGCATTCACCATCATGTTTTAAAGCAATCTAATATTCAGAGTACATAGGAGGAACACAGGAAGCTGCCCCCTACCAAGTCAGACCATTGCTCCATCCAGCTCAGTACTGTCTGCACGGACTGGCAGTGGCTCTCCAGAGTTTTCCCCAGCCCTACCTGGAGAGGCCAGTGATTAAACCTGGGACCTTTTGCATGCAGAGCAGGTGCTCTATCACTGAGGGAAAGTCCTTCCCCAATGGAACTGAAGACAACAGAACTCCCTTTTTGCATAAGCAGGCAGTGAATCATGCTTCCTGGCAGCAATCCTAGGCAGACTGATTGCAGTTGAGACTTATTGCACACACACACCATGCACACTTTTTTAAAAAAGTGCTAATGAACATAGCCCAGGGTAGTAGATGTATTCCAGAAAGCATGCACAGCCAAGATGACCTCAGACTGTAAACAGTCACCTGCATTTAATTACTCATAATTAACTTTGATTCCGCCCCGCTTCCTGCAGCTGCTGTGAGCTGGACAACTTTATAGGTTAGATATTTGCATTTATTTATTTTTTCATTTAAAGAAAATCCTGTTCTCTCGTTAATGTCAGAAACCTTATCCAACCGAAGGGGCAAATAGGTGCTGCTCTGGGGTTTGCCTAGAAAAGGCAGGGAAAGGAACAAAATGGAAGGCCTTTAATAACAGAAAATACGCAAATGCAGAATGTGTTCTCATCGTCTTTATGATATCACATAAAGTCGATCTTTATGGTATCAGACTTCTGGAGCTGTGGCTTGCACAATCAGCGGGAGTTATTTCCAGGTAAACATGGTTAGGATAAGGCTGTAGGGTTGGCGTTTATCACACGTGAGGTTAATAAATGTTAAATATGCATCACATAGATTGAACCCCGATGAAGGTCCATCCAAGCTGGTCCTTCCAGATTAGGGCTAGGGAACCTCTTCCATCCCAAGGGCCTCATAGGGAACATTTTGAGGGCTGCACGCCAGTAGCTTGCATAGCCACAGGCAAAAGTGGGTATGGCAACAGATACAACTTACCTTTGTACAGTTCTGGCCACGCAAACATCAGAGGTTTCCAGATATATGCACAAACACATCTCTCCATTGTCTACCCAGGCAAGCAAGAGGCATTATCACAGTTCAGCAACATGTTCCAGACAGGCAAAAAGACTTGAGGTGGTTGTGGAGCAGGGCTGGGGAGCTGCGTAGCCTGGGGAGAATCCTGAGGGCCAGACAGAGAGGCCTAGAGGGCTGCATTTGCCCCCCTGAGGTTCCCCACCCAATCTAAACCACTGTCTTCTGACCTGTTTGTCCATAGTTGATTTGGGGCAGCTACAGAGGAAGAGGAGCGGGCCCACCACTCAGAGGTAGTCCCTGCCCTTCATATTCAAAAGGTCCCAGGTTTAGTCCTTGGAAACTCCTATCTAAGAAGTCAAGTGTCCAGTATACCTGAAGGAGCATCTCCACCCCCTTTGTTCTGCCCGGACACTGAGGTCCAGCGCCGAGGGCCTTCTGGAGGTTCCCTCGCTGCGAGAAGTGAAGTTACAGGGAACCAGGCAGAGGGCCTTCTCGGTAGTGGCACCCACCCTGTGGAACGCCCTCCCATCAGATGTCAAAGAAATAAACAACTATCTGATGTTTAGAAGACATCTGAAGGCAGCCATGTTTAGGGAAGTTTTTAATGATTGATGTTTTAATGTATTTTTAATCTTTTGTTGGAAGCTGCCTGGAGTGGGTGGGGTATAAATTAATAATAATAATAATAATAATAATAATAATAATAATAATAATAATAATAATATAATATAGAAGGACCCCCCCCCAAATGAACTCCTGGAGAACCACTGCCAGCCAAAGAAGGTAGAAATATTGGGCTAGTTGGGGAAATAGCCTGACCTGATATGAGGCACCTGCCGATGTTCCTAGGTGATTTCTCATCATTTCTCTGAGTAATTGCTAACCTTCAAACCGTGACGCATTGTAGATAGCGGCGCCATTGTGACGTCTCCAGGCTCATCATTTCTGTGGAAAGAGAAAAACAATTTGCTCCAAGTTTGCTTCACTTTTAACCAACTATGGGGGGGGGGCAGTTTGCAAACATGTGAAGTCCCATGGGCCATTTGATGCAATAAGAGGCAAGCAACACAGCACTCTTAGGATGCTGCTGGATACCAACTCCCATCAGCCTCAGCAACAGGAGGGCCAATGGACAGGGATCATGGGAGTTGCTGTCCAACAACTTCAGTCTATTGCTCCTGCCACAGACGCTTCTTTTAATAAACATCTGTGGCAACAAGACACTCATTTCAATCAATCAATGGCCAACAGCTGCTTCCGCCAACCCAACAATCTGTGACTCAACCAGGGATGGGTGTATCAGTCTATTTCTTGACTCTCACGTGAATTCACACTCAAATCTGTTCCATCCTGTTTCCGCATTGATCTGTAGATATATTTTTAAAAGCATAGACAAAAAACGGCATTTAAATACGTATTGCTGTTTTGTCTCAAAGCAATCGTGCATTTCTGAAGCTGAGAGCATTTGAGGAATGTGAAACCTGGGGAATTAACTGAGAGTTATGTCCAATGTTGCTCATACTCAGAGTAGATGAAAATAATGGACATGATTAACTTTCTGCCTCCTGTCACAGGGGCTGGACCTGGGCATTCCTATCCTCATGGAAGGTAAGTCTATTGGTTCCCAGCTGCCATAATGGCTATGTTCTACCTCCCCCGTCCGAGGCTGTATGCCTCTGAATGCAGCTTCTGGGAATCACAAATTGGGAGAGAGCGTTGTGCTCTCAGGTCCTACTCGCAGGCTTCCCACAGGCATCTGATTGGCCATTGTGAGAACAATGGACTAGACAGACCTTCAGTTGAATCCACCAAGACTTTTCTAATGATCGTATGTGCCTGAGGATGTCCTATTGTGCCTGGGGATGGTTCCAAGGCCTGAACACACACACAGCTCCCGACTGAAACCTCAGAACCTTCAATTACTAGCTTCACCTTCAAGCTCTCTCCCAACAGCCCTGACAGATAGGGCAATTGTTCTCTAGCAAGCCAAAGGTCCCGGGTTTTCAAGACTGGACTGGAGGGAGTTCTCAAAAGAGTTTTCAGCTCAGCCCAAGTAACCAGTGATTGCTAGGATGGTTTTATCTTGTCTTATTTCTACGATGTCATTTCTGTGGTAAACACTGACCATGAAAAATATTGCACATTAAACACACAAGAGCACACACACACACGCACAAACAAACAAATCCAGGACACTACGGCCTTGGTAAAACTCATTGAGCGGACTGTAAATATTTCACCAAGGACCTCACCAGCACAAATGAACGCAACAGTGCCTTGATCAACAACACACACACAAAAACACTCGCACCCCTGCTCCATTTAATGGCAGGAGGGTGAGGAATACTTACAACGAATTTGATTTCTGCAGCTCTAATGGTGTTTGCGCTTTCCTTTATTTTATTATTTCTGAAGGGCTTAATTCAGCCTGCAAAACAACAAAGGTGCATAGCAATCAGAGAAACACATTTAAAAGGAAACACTGTTTTCAACCACGGACAAACCTTTGGGTAGAGAATGGAACACACACAAACAAACAAACAAACAAACAAATAAACACACAAACGGTAATGGAAACCTTAAAACACAGACTTGCTCCCAACAAGCTGACTTTTTCCATAGACTTTTTATCATATGTGGTGGGAATGTAGAGAAGTTCGAAAATTTTGAGAAATGATATATAATGAATTGAAAAAAAAATGTTTAAATTGACATTTGTAAAAAAAAAAAAAAATCAGAAGCATTTTTGTTAGGGATTGTAGGACAAGACCTGCCAAGAAAAGTAAATAACTTATTTATGTATGCTACAAGAGCGGCAAGAGTCTTGTTAGCACAAGGATGGAAGAATAAGGAAACCCCAACGAAAGAACTGTGGCAAGAAAAATTGACGAGCTATGTGGAATTAGCCAAATTGGCACATAAACTGCGTGAAAAGGAAAACTGTGACTTCAAGGAAGAATGGGAACTTTTTACAAACTATCTAAAAAGGCAACAAAATGAACTGGACTCTTTGGCAGGTTTTGAATAAACATTCACAAATTTATTAGCTGAACATATGATAGAAAAAGTAAGGCTATGTACAATTTTATAACAATATATATAAAGAAATCAGGGAGGGAAGCTGAGGGAAGTCCTTTGTGGGGGGGAGAGGGAAGGTTGAGGGGGGAAGGGGGGAAATAATGTAATGGATTAAGAGGATTGATAAATTGTTATGTGGAAATGGGTTAATAAAAAAATTCTTTTTTTAAAAAAAAGCTGACTTTTCCCATAGAGAGATGCTGAACCCCACGCATTGAGTTGACAGTCGCAGAGGTCTGCGTGTCTGTGATCAGACGTGTGGCGATGGACTTACCTGCACTAAGTGACCAGGGGAAGCATCACAAAAGAAGTTGGCCTCAAACAGACCTCTAGCTGCATTTAAGCAGGTGGTAAGGAATTGCCTTTTACTATACTGACCTTTATACTCTGTGTAAGGTCCGTATAGTAAAAGCTATGGTTTTCCCAGTAGTGATGTATGGAAGTGAAAGCTGGACTATAAAGAAGGCTGATCGCTGAAGAATTGATGCTTTTGAATTATGATGCTGGAGGAGACTCTTGAGAGTCCCATGGACTGCAAGAAGATCAAACCTATCCATTCTGAAGGAAATCAGCCCTGAGTGCTCACTGGAAGGACAGATCCTGAAGCTGAGGCTCCAATACTTTGGCCACCTCATGAGAAGAGAAGACTCCCTGGAAAAGACCCTGATGTTGGGAAAGAGAGAAGGGGATGACAGAGGACGAGATGGTTGGATAGTGTTCTCGAAGCTACCAGCATGAGTTTAACCAAACTGCGGGAGGCAGTGGAAGACAGGAGTGCCTGGCGTGCTCTGGTTCATGGGGTCACGAAGAGTCGGACACGACTAAACGACTAAACAACAACAACAAAGGAATTGCCTTACACTATGTGTCCATCTAACTTAGTGGGGGGAGACTCAGACAGGCAGTTGCTCTCCAAAAGATCTCAGAGAAAAGATCACATGTGGAAGGCTCCAGGGTCAATTCCAGCCTGAAATCCCTGCCTGAAAACTCTGAAGAGCTGCTACCAGCCAGTGCAGACATCACTTAGCTGGATTGACCAAGGATCCAAAACACTATATGGTATGTTTCCAATGTTTCCGATACCTGTTACCTGATCTCTTTAGCTGTAGATTCTGGGGATCAAACCTGAAAACCTTCTGCATCTAAACGGTGTGATCTACTCAACAGTGCTAGGATTCTGTCTCCCTAAACCAAGGAGAGGCAACGTGAGGCCCTCCACCTTATTTCAAAAGTATTCTTCAGTCAATCAGTTCAGACGTCTGGCAAGAAGTGGCCCTGCCCACTTTTCATTCAAGCCCCACCCATTCCTGGCTTCAGGCCCCACCCACCAGCAGCATGCATTCTCCATCAGTTTACCCCTCAACACTAAAAGGTGGTTGCCCACTAAAGGTTGCACCAAAGCAGGGGTATCCAACATGGCATCCTCTAGATGTTGTTGGACTCCAATTCCCATAAAACCCAGCCAGGATGACCAATAGTCAGAGATGATGTAGTCCAACAATATTTTGTGGCTATCCTTGCCCTAAAGGGCTAGGGGGTTGACCCAAGCTAGGGTTGCCTGCCACCTTGAGTTCCTTGGAAGAAAGTTTTAAATAAATTTTAAAACTAATCTAAGCCCTGTGCTGGCAACGCAACGCAAAACAAATTTAAAAGAATAATAAAAAAGCAATAAAACAAATTAGTATCTTGAAATCAACACAAAATATTCGGTGAAAGGGGTATTGGATTCCAATTGGGGTAGCATTTTCTGCATCCTGGGTTAGGTAGCATCTCAAGGTCAGAGAACTGAGACCCAAATCTACTGAAATTGACTTAGCATTCATTTCTCCCTCTTATCTCTGCATTCCTGGCAAAGGGAAGGTGTTAAGAGAACTTCAGCTGAAGAGAGACCACTTTGTCATTTTAGTGAGGCCATAAAAGGATCTTAGTGGCTGTTTCTGTTTTTACTTTCCCTTGCCTTTTACTTGATTCTGCTTTCCTCCCTTAATGTGACAAAAAAGGCAATATATTTCAGAGATTGAATGTGAATTAAAAAGTGTCTGCTGCATGGCTTTTATTACCATGACATTCGGCAGTTTGTGATCTTTTTGTTCCATTATTCCACAAGCTGATTTGATTGGGAGTTTACAGAAGAACTCTTGCCAGTTATGTACCAGCCAGTTCAGATGCCCCCGCTCTTAATGGTCTTCTTCAGGCATTTGGGTGCCATTGGCTCAGTTCAGACATCTTGCCAAACAGGAAGCTTAACTATGGTTTGGTGTGATGTCTGACCTGACAAACCACGGTTGTTGTGGCGGGGGGGGGGGGGGGAATCTGCCAGGAACAGAATCCATGTCACACTCAGGACCTGCTTGTGGGCCTGATGCAGGCGGCCTCTTTGGACATTTCTAGGTCCAGAGATTCACAGCTGGCTATTCTTCTAAGCAGCCTACAAACAAAGCTGACTTCCTTTTAACAGATCAAACTAAGGGGAGGAAGGGAGACCAGAAAACCTGAATTGGCAGTGTATTCATCAAGCGATCTTTAAATAGAGTTTCTGTGCTACCTCTTTATAATGTTGCTTCCCTATTTTGGTACATAGTAGTGACTCAAAGAAGGCAACTTTCTTCCCCCACGAGCTGAAAATTACTATGGCTGCACTTGGGCCAGCAGCTGAAATATCACTTCAAACCAAGTGCCTTGGTGCTGAAATCCTATCAAAAGAAAACTTCCTTAGCTTATCAGCCCTTGCAGACAGTAGACAAGATTATTTGAAACGGCCCTTGAAGCATTGTTATTTGCTTTTACAGTTTCAGCAGATGATTTGTTGCTGACATATATCAAATTGAAAGCAATGGCATTTTGCTTCTTTATTTAGAAATATTTATACCTTGGCCTTTTGAACAGAGAACAATAATGCCTCCAAGTTGACCCACAAATTTTTATATATATGAACACGGGAAGCTGCCTTGTATCAATGACTCATCCAGATGATCTGTTTATTGAGCATCCATCCTCATTTGCTTGCAGAAAGCTTATGCAGAGGTTAGATTATGTCTGGTCTTTGTTGAGCATTCATCCTGATTTGCGTGAGGGTGTTCAAATGCCTCCCCATTAATTATTTGTTCATTCCACACTTTTCAGCACAACTGCCTGCCACTTTCCCAATCACAAAAGTCTCATTTTTTATTTAAAATGGTGTTGTGGTACAGGGGCAAGTGAGCATTTCAACCGACTTTAACTGTGCAAACCTAATTTTCCGGTGTGTGCTTGAACTGCTCCTGCAAAACAATGGCTGCCCAGATACAACCCAAGTCAACCATTGGTCTATCTCACTCCACTGGTGAAGGAACAGGGAGCGGGGGAGCGCACCGCCCCCTGCACCATATGGGGAGGAGAGTACCATCATGGCCACCACCACCCCAGACACGTGCCACACACCCCACTGCACCGCCCCCCCCCAGGACGCACGCCATGTCCCTGGGATACACGCCCATGCGGGCGGCATGCCACGCCCCGGGATGCACATCATGCCCGACAGGACAGGACCAGTCACGCCTCCACCTGCTCTCCGCCCCCGGTGCCGGAGCATGCAGCTTCACCACTGTCTCACTCAGTACTGTCTGCTCTGATTGGCAGTAGCATTCCAGGGTTTAAGTCAGGGGTCCATCTCAGCTAGCGATGTCAAGAGAATTCCACCCAAAATGGGAGCAGAAATTCCCACAATTAACAACTTCACCCCCATCATTCTGCCTGGACACTGAGGTCCAGCGCCGAGGGCCTTCTGGAGGTTCCCTCACTGTGAGAAGCGAAGTTACAGAGAACCAGGCAGAGGGCCTTCTCAGTAGTGGTGCCCGCCCTGTGGAATGCCTTCCCACCAGATGTCACAGAAATAAACAACTATCTGACTTTTAGAAGACATCTGAAGGCAGCCCTGTTTAGGGAAGCTTTTAATATTTGATGAATTATTGTATTTTAATATTTTGCTGGAAGCCGCCCAGAGTGGCTGGGGAAACCCAGCTAGATGGGCAGGGTATAAATAATAAGTTGTTGTTGTTGTTGTTGTCGTCATCTGGGGCCAGAACAAAAATCATGTAAGCAGATAATCACTATTGTTATTTTATTTAGTCTGCAAATATCTCCTAAATAATTATTACATTATTTTCTATGCTGTGCTTGATGTTTCACTTCCATGGAAATGCACTGAAGTTAATTGCTTAATTAATTGAGTAAATGTCAGCCACGGCAGACAGTGAGACAAATAATGTAGGTTTTATCAGAAGCTGAACTGCAGTGAAACGGAAGCAGCGCTGATTGTGGTGAACCCAGGATGGGACCGAAATCACTGCCTCTTACACCCTACTAATAGCC